ACGTCATCTCTCAGTGCTTTAGAGTCATTAGGATGCCCGACCAACCAATGGGATCACATCCTCGTTCATCAGGTGGGATTAGCGTTGGACGACAAGACTCGCGAAGACTGGAAAACCAGATTAGGAACATCACGCGAGTTCCCACCGCTAGATAAACTAATGCGTCATCTCACTAGCACGGCTAGAGCACTAAAACGTATCAAGACTCGTAGGTCTTACGAGGGATTCAGAAAGACATCTCAACGGCCTAAATCTCCCCCCACAAGGTCCTACGCAAGGGCCTTAAACGTAAAGGCTGAGGCTACTACGCCTACACGATCATCTCAGTCGGCATTGGATAAAAGGCCAATTAAAGAACATCCGATGCCATTTATAACAGACCTCTCCAACACTTGCAGCTATTGTAGTCATAAGCACTACATCGCCTTTTGCCCTCTCTTCAAGAATTTAAATCAACAGAAGAAGGAGAAGGTCATAGCAGAATCTCGCCTATGTTATAACTGCTTGGGCAAGCATAACGTTAGGCAATGTAGGAGTACTAGGCGATGCAACCAGTGTGGAGATCGGCACCACACGCTCATACATCCTGAGAAAAGGATGACATCGTCCAGGACATCTCCTCCTACAACCAAGACATCTCCTCCTACAACCAGAACATCTCCTCCATCGTCTAGGACATCTCCTCCAACATCGTCTAGGACATCTCCTCCTACATCAAGATTATCGCTGCCAATCTCAAGGACTTCAAGCTCTCTCTCAGAGACAACACAGACATCTCAGMRAGTCTCGTCCTCGCAGGGCTCACGGGTATCGTCGGATGAGTCACCGAGAGAGGATCGTCGTAAATCTTCCAAAAAGTCATCTCATCGCCGATCCTCTAGTCCGAAGTCATCATCATCCACTTCCGGTACATCGACTCCCAGACCTCTCTCCCAACCGAAGGCTTCTGTTCATGGCTCCTCTCACAAGTCATCTTCAACTCAATCATCTCCTCCTAAGTCTATACCTACCAAGAAGAGTTCTTCTCAGAACTCTTTAAAAAAGGCGTCCTCAGAATGAGGAGTAGGTAGGACATCTCATTACCCACATCGGCTTCTCAGATCCATTTTAAAATCGACCATTTCATCTTCCTCAAGGTCCTCTCAGACGAACAAACGAGTCAGATTTTCATCACCTATCTCAGACATCGATCGTTCGTCTAATCCATCGCTTTCAACGTGCTCTCGAGCTCCAGTACTCTTAGCTACCTGTAAAGCTTTTGCCATATCTTCAACTGGATCGCCTAAGTTAGTACGTCTTCTCATTGATCCTGGATCAGAGTTGACTTTAGTTTCTTTTAAAATCATAGCTAAGCTAAAGCTTAGCCGTTCTCCAGAAAACATTCCTATTAAGGGTGTGGGTAGTACATCTCCAGGAGCGACCCAAAGTCAAGTGTCCTTGGTCCTCCAATCGAAATACTCGTCATCTCGGGTTTATCTTAAGGCATTCATTTTGCCAAAAATCACATCTCAGTTCCCGTCGTCTGTAATATCAGAGCAAGATTAGCCTCATCTCAGATCTCTTCAATTAGCGGATCCTGACTTTCTCACTCCAGATCAYATYGACATTCTCATTGGTGYTGATAATCTYAGAAGAGTTCTCAAGTCCTCTCGCCTTGTTATGGGAGGCGACTCAGAACCTATAGCTTTCAACACCAGGTTCGGTTGGGCAGTTCTAGGCGCAACTTCCAGCCTGAGCAAGGTCGATCCTCTCAAAATTTGCCATGCTATCTCTAACGAATCTCTTGACAAAGCTCTAACAAAAATCTGGGTCCAGGAAGAAGTCTCATCTTCCCCCGCGTCAACCTTGAGTCTCGCTGAATCGCAATGCGAGCAGCACTTTGTTGATACGAACTCTCGATTGCCAACTGGTCGTTACATGGTTCGTCTGCCATTCTCGAAAGACATATCAACCTTAGGGCATTCAAGGTCTCTTGCCATGAGATGCCTTGAAAGACTTCTCAAGAAATTCGAAACCGATAGGCATTTCAAGGAGACCTACTCTGAATTCCTCA